TGGGATTTTTAATTACCAAATCCTTTYCATATCAAAGGAAGTAAAGGATGGTTTTATGCTCTAAACTGACACCCTTGATTTCAAAAGCAAAAGTAACCATGGCTGTGTAATAGCTAGGTGCTTCATGATCTAGGCTCCACACTCTAGTAGATAGGTAGGTACACAGATRAAAATTCAGGCAAGATCTGCCTTGGGTGACTATGAAGCATCAACCCCAAGCCTCTGAAAGAGGGAATAAAGACCCTCACCAAATTATTATGCTCCATTTTTGTTAAGCACGTTTTAAACTTCAATAGCTAAATAACATTGGCTCACAGCTGCTTTATTTAAAGTTTCATTGATCTTACTCTGTTGGGAGCTTATAATGAATACCAGATCCCATATCCTTTATATTTTCTATGGAGACAGGCAGAAGGCAAACACTTAAAACAAGGCAGGCTTTCTTTGACAAACAGGGGAGGGCAGGAATCCCCCTCAAGCAGCAATATCCCCCTGCTCCCTCACCAGACTAAAATGGAGACACATAAAAATTATAAATAACTTATTTTTCTTGGTCATGGAACCCAATAAAATAAGAAAGATGTTTTGAACTTTACAAAGGAAAAAAATCATACTTTGAGCTTTTGAAAATTTGAAAGGAAACTGTATCAATTGTCCAGAAGGGTATCATTTTTGGAGAATTTATTAACTCAGTCATTAACTTAGTCATTAACTCAGTCATTAAATTTATTAACTCAATCTCCCCCGTGCTCTGAAAGATCACGTTTGGGTTGTACTGTCACCCCTGCTGGAGAGAGACTGGAAAGAGTGCTTTTCCTTCCCCCATTTAGACCCCTTGCTTACCCCCTTGGTTTCAAGTTATTAATAAGATGCTGCTGGYGAATTTGTGCTCCTGGGGGGAAGGGTCAAAATGCAACAGGGACTGGCATCCTTGAAAACTACAAAACGTAATCCCAGGTGTAAAGTGAAGATTACTTCAATGCAGAACAGAGGGAGATGCAAAGAAAGAAACATTTAAATTCCCTGAATGTCTCATAGTTGTTTTTGCTAATTGCACAGGGAAGCTACAAGGCATTAATCCTTGCTTCTCAAATTACTGGGACCAGGACCAGCACATAAACTGACAAACCAACCAAAACAGCAACATACTTTGTTCCATATTGCACCAGTAAGCAAGAAAACCTTACCCAAGCGCCTTGGAAGCACAGCACCACATTCCCCTGCACCCAGACCCCTCCCCCACTCCGTTGCATTTTCACCTCCTTGTTCTGAAATTCCTGATTTTGCTGCCAAAATTCAGCAAAGAAGAAAAGCAAGCTCCCTGCACAGCTCTGCTGGAGCCCCCACAACCCTTTCTTAGGCTGGGAACAGCAGGGCCTCCATTTGATAGCCCAGGGAGGGGCCTTGACTGGTTTATCTCAAACCCATTAGCCAAAGGGCAGAGTAACAAGAGAGTGATTATGGAGCAGGTGTTACCCTTGGCATTAGGCTTCCACGAGGAGAACAATCAATATCTCTGAATTACCAATTCAGTTATTCCCTTCGGGCACAGCCTGGCTGGAATAAAGGGGCTGTCCCTCGTCACCACGTGTGGAACAAACAGGAGCTCACAGCTAAAGCAGAGGTCTGGAAGAAGGCACGGAGAAGGTGTCATTAAAAGCATTTGTTTCCCTGCCTGCAACACAAACTCTGATATGACCTGGAGAAGGTTGCTTCAGTTTTCTGCGCTTTGTTTTTTCACCTCTCCATCAACAAGGGCACCGTGGGCCTTCCCACCCACAGAGATACCACAAAGATAAAATTCCCATTTTTTTGTAAAGCTATTGAAAAACACGCCAGGGAGGCATAAGAGAAATACTGAAGAGTTTCACTAACAAATCAACTATTTTAGAGCTTCCTGGAGGAAGCAATTATTTGGAGCCAGGTTGCATTTATGAGGGGAAAAACAGACTGCAGGATGATAACAACTTTGCAGAGCTGAACCCAGGATAATAAATCTCCTGGAAACAGCTGTTAGAGGGACATTTCTGCAATCCTGTGCAGGCAGCTCATGGAGATGAGGAGGAAAGTTGTTTGTGCAAGTTTGGATCCTGTCACCCACAGGAAGCCCTACACTGCCCTGCAGGACCCAGGGAGAGGAAATGGGAAACCCAGCATCTGCMCCCTTGGGTACCAGGATTCCACTTCTGGCTCCCATCAGGAGTTGGCTCCCTAGGAAAACTGMTACTCCCAAATCTGCCCCCTCAGCTTCTCAACATGAAGATATTTAAAATGCGGCTTTAAGGATGAACATTATATACCTTCAATTATGAGCAGCATGTTAGCCCTGCTTAGTGGAGGATCTGCCTGATAGGCAGAGGCAGGGCAGAAGCAAATCCAGCAAAGCCGCCAGCAGCTCTGCCCAGTCTGGCCAACAGCATCCCTGCTGCCATTAACCTGTCAGGAGGGCTGTGCAGTGCCACGGCCAACTCTCCCACCTGTCCTCCCACCCCCAGTTGCCACTGAACCTGATGAATAGGACAGGTCTCCTTGGTGCCCTCTGGTATCCAGAGGATGCTCCAGCCTCCTCCTTCCCTGAGAGCATCAGCCCTTGTACCCAGCGATGCTTGGCTGCCTGAGGAGTGATGTGGTTTGACATGTGGGGGCAAGAGAGAACGTCTGTCCCATGAAGTGGGTCCGCCTGGCTCACTGGGATACGTGGGTGGGGAAGATAAACCCTGCATGCCAGGCAGAGCTGCTAAACTCAGCATGATCTCAGCCACTAAAAGAGCTGCCAGGAGATCTGAGCAGCCCGTCCAGACACAGAGACAAGGGTTTTGCCTTGAATACTGGCATCAGTCTCTGCTCTCCTGCCCCAAATTCTCTTATTTTCTCATGGATGTAATATGAAAAGTCTCAGCTGTGTCCCACAGACACACCATGGGCTCAGCATGGGCCTCATGACAAAGAGCTGTCAAAGAACAACCACCTTATGCCAAGGGAYCCTCCGGGCTGCTCAGCTCTGCCTGTGTCTCACTGAAGGTTAAGGTGAGGAGTTTGCTGGTAAACATCATTCTCCTGCAAAAGGGAACAGAGAGATTTGGGAAGTCCATTATGAGTGCTTTCTCATCCCTTCCCCTTCACCCCAGCTTGGTGCCAAGAGAGACCATTCAGTTTTGCCAAGTACGGCAGGGGATGAGGGCTGGGGGCTGGCAGTGTGATCTGGCCAGCCCTGGCTGTCCTCTCCAGTGACAGCACCGTAAGGGCCCCTCTGCACGGCTCTGGCAGGTGAGGAGTGTGYGAGCGCTTGCTTTGTGATGCACGGGGCTTGTTGGCACGTAGCCCGCTGGCATTCTGCTTTCGGAAGGGGGGAATCTGCGTTTTCACACCTTAGAAACAAACCAGCGGCGGGGGGAGCTGTTAACGCAGGGGAGGGCCCGGCGGGGGCAGAGCCACCGTTCCTGAAGGRCAAAGCTTTCCGATGGTGGCGCTGCGGCCGCGGCAGAACGGGGAGCGCGGGGTCAGAGCGAGCGGCTGTTCCGGCACCGAGCGCTCACGGTTTTGTGTTCCTGGAAAATCCACGTGTACGGAACATCCTGTCTGGGAGCCGAGCAGCGCACTGCRCCGGCTGGCAGCTCGCCGGGTGAGGGCAGTAGCCCTTCTATCCTTTCCTCAGCAAGTTTCTCAAGGAGGCTTTGTGGCGGGGTCAATCTTTGTGGTGAGGCTGCTTTTCTGGAAGCAGAGATGTCCCTGTGTGCCCTGGCCTTTTCTCCCTTCGGCCAAAGGGCCAGCTGTCAAGGAAGATTGCCCAGACCACCCACCTCAGGCTGGCTGCCCTCAGGCTTGTCTCGCCACAATGATTTCTCATTGCCAGCACAAACCAGAGGTGACAAATCATTTCCATCGTGTCAAGAAGGGCACATTCCTGGCTGCCAGAATGCTGTGGCAGGAGACAGTGCCCAGTGAAAAACAGCAATTAAAAACAATTCCTGGAGACGRACGACTCCCACGTGCCAACGGCCTGGTACAGGAAAGCACGCATAGGCCACAGATCTTCAGTTTTGCAGCAGTAAAATTACAATAAGATCTGCTTGCTGTATAGAAATATTTTTTTGGAACAAATGACAAATGTCATCCATTCCCTTCTCTTTAACCTGGCTGTTCCTTCACAAAAAATAAAATTAATGCATCGAAGTACACAAAAATCTCAACATCTTTAAGGACTTTGCTTTGAACAAGCTGGCCAAAGGGATCTTCTCCCTCCTTCCCTATTACATTACTGATAGATTTTGATAAAAGAACACTCATTAGTAGACTTGCCTGAAAAGGCAACATTATGTCTTTGAAGCAAAGCAAACATTAATAAAAATAATAACAGACTGCATATTGCACTTAAAGAACAATAGGTGTCTGCTCCTCTGCAGTTTCTGCTTCTGCCCTTGTCCCAGTGCAGCACAACTACAGAAGAGGGAAGTTCAGAGCCTGCCCCAGCCCCTCTCTGCACTCACAAGCATGCTGTCTAATCCACATATTTTTAAGATCTCTCTAATGTCTCCTATACTGGCCTGCTACTCACTTTGGATTATTACTTCACCAATGAGAGCTATCTTCTCTCTAAAAATAGCGCTCTCTTCCTATTCATACTGTTCTTATAGAGACTCCAAGATTACTTAGCCATTTATTATATTTACCGTCTTCCTCTCTGAAATCCACTCATACCATACACGATCTCTTTAGACCTTTCCCCCTGTCCAGCCAGGCCTCATTCCTCAAGCAGTTCTATGCAAGCACACTGAGGGTGGCCTTTGCTTCTGAATTTGGAAACAGATGATCCTTCTAAGGCTGTGCCAACTCTGAACCTCTCTTCCCCAAGCCATTASAGCATCTCTAGCTTTAGCTTCATCCTAGTTTTCACACGAAAGATGCTGTACCATTGCAACATATTTATTAATGATCTGCTAGATTTCCAGGCCAAAAGGCTAAGCAGTTAAAAAAAAAAAAAAACACAAAAAAACCCACAAAGAATTATAGCTTCACTTCAAAAGAATTTTTTTTTTTAATTTAGAAATGCAGTTATATACATAGAACAATTAAATTAAACTTTGTACAAATATTAAAATACTATCTTCACACCCACTGCAATGTACAGGATACCAGAAAATACATATAAAATAAAGCAAAATAAAACCAATTGAGTGACATCCTGCACAGCATCAGTTATGGTTTTAAATCCCACATACATAAATGGAGTACCATTCTGCAAATAATTCCATAGTGGTGCAATTCAGATAAAAAGAAAACACATACAGGAAAGAAAAGATTAATGCAGAAAGGCAATCAAGCTCCCCTTGCACTTGGATCAGCAACTACCAGCAGTCTACCCACCACATCATAGGACATCTGCTTCACAGACAACTTCGTTTTCTTTTGGAAGGAATCAAATTTGAGAATCTGAACTAAAACATTTTCCAGCACAACTCAGTTGCCTCTGTCTGTTCTCACTCAAAGACAGAAGCAAAAGCATAGCTTACAGAAAGCGTATGCAGAGCATCAATATTACATGTTCTGGTGGGTACATGTATTTGAACATCACCTGCAGAGGGTTGAGTTTGAAACCAGTGCTGAACACAGGGCCCTGAAGTGTGGGAAGTGGCATGTTCTGTCCTGGTGTGCTAGGACTGCAAAAAGGCTTAATTCTTATATAAAAATACACCTTAAAATGAAGCCTGCTCTAGGAACCCTCTTTGTACTTTCAAAGCATTTAGTAGAAAAAAAACTATTTTCTAATGAAGTTCTTCTGCAAACAAAGGTTTTCACATAGAGCAAATTAAATCTGCTGTTCCCTGGTAAGGACTGAAGGGTGAGAATGGGGTGAGGCAGGATGTGCAAAATGAATGGGATTTATTGCATTTATATACAAAAAACAGAAAGTGTAATCTATTTAAATAGTTATCTGGATAGAGTAACAAGGCAGATTTTTTTTAAAATTGCTATTCAGAACAGTAAAACCACATTTTGCAAGTATGTTCTAAAAAGTTCAGCAAGGACAGCTCAGTGTGTCCAACCAGTTGTACAATAATTTTTTTTTTACAGCAAGCCTGCTGGTGTATGCTAAATCATCTAACAAAGCACAAGCTTCCTTACAACCTGGTCATGATTGCATTAGCTCATTAGCCTGCAGTATACCTGTTTTCAGCTCTTCCTTACACTCCTCCTTGTGCTCCCTTTTCTGCACTGCAAATGACTTAATCATCCCAGATTATTTCCAAGAGCTGAGCCAGTTGCTCTTTTAGCTCCACTCCTCAGTATTGACCCAAGTCACCCACCTGTGGGAGCATCTTAGCATGTTTCTTCCCAAAGCACGTGCAACAGATTTCTTCCTAACCCGAGTTCTYCATACACAGAAAGGCCAAATTAAGACTCCAGATGCAGTAAACAATTCACCACACCAGAGCTGGAAGGCCAAGCAGAAACCTCAGGGTAGATGTCCAAGGGGTGAAAAGCAYTCTGCTTACTGAGTACACATTCTGCTATACAGCAACTTCCCTGGTCMTTAAGGACAAAAATGCATTAAGCTCTTCTCCATCCCAAACTCATGATGTTTTAACTCAGCAACAACTCCACAGGCTCACACACCACAGCACATCTATCCTGACTTCTTTTTACCTCTTCTGCAGTTAATGATGGGGAGGCACAAGCTATTTATAACCAGAACACACAAACCCCTTCTCTCACCAGTGCTGCTGACACCCTTCAAGGCTGCAGGAGGCTCTGACACATTCCAAGCTGGCTCATCATTTGAGGTGAGCTTCATGATGCAGACCCTGACAGGAGACTGGCCCACTTCCCCATGGGTCACTGCCAGTCTCACTTCCTGGCTCWCTCAGGCTGATCCAGTTCTACAGTGCTTGGGCTGTAAACACTGCAATAAGTTRCATTTATTTTTTAAAAAAACTATGTAACTGGAAAGGAGCAAGGAAGTTTTTCTATTGCACATAATATCCTGAATTTCTGAAATGCCCTTTTCCCCCAACTATCAAACTCCAAAAATAATATAAACCTTTAAAATAAGTGCTATTTTTATTTTTCTCAATATAATTAATCATTTTAATGTTTTTGAATATGACAGGATCCGGCATGTATGACAGAGTATGAGATGATTATGTTGGGAGTGTTAAATAAGAAAAAATACCTCCCTTTGAAATCTGTTGCCAGACATGGGTGGGGGAAGAAAAGGTATGGAGACTGTGGCCCCATCAGGAAACAAAATAAAACAAACCAACAAAAAACAAACAAACAAGCAAAAAATTTCCTGTGTTACATCTTGCAAGGCTGAGCCTCTGTACTTCCCAACCACCATACTGAGATCCAGGCTGCATCTACTTATGGCAAAATCCAGAGAGAAGACATTCTTTGCTCAGAGATAATGAAGACTCCTGAGGCAGAGCACAGCTCACAACTGAGGGATTTTTAGGCTTCAGCTCTTGCTCCAATAARTAAAGACAGGACTGTGCAAAGCAGGTTTTCCTCTATGTCTATCCAAAGATTTCCCAGTCCTTCAGCCACTGCAGAATTAAAACAAACACGAATGAATAATAATCACTTGATAATCAGTAACATGAGGCCTTCCTCTCCCTCCTCCTTGAAAAAGTTGCCAGACATCTTTTGGATAACTGCCTTGCCATTTTACCTTATTTTATATGAAAATTAACTCTAAAGCTGAGGATGTGGACAAGAGCAATGTGATGCCCCCCAAACTGTGTTCGATGTTCTGTCTTATATAGATCCTTGGGGCCTGTTCCCACAAGATTAGCTGCAGGGAATAGAGCTCTTCTGCAGGATCTTGACTCATCAAAAGGGATGACCAGCCAGCACAGAGACTGGTCTGGGTAAGCTGCTGGCTTACCCTCAGCAAGCCAACAGAAGCTGCCTGCTTATGCCTGATCACAACAGCTACACTTGGCTATTTCCCTCCACCTCCGCATTCCCCCCACGCATTAGTAAAGCCATTTCCAACAATTTTTGTAAAATCCAGTAATATGAGGTTTAACAAGACCAAGTGCTGGGTCCTGCACCTTGGCTACAGCAAGCCCCTGCAGTGCTACAGGCTGGGGGAAGAGTGGCTGGACAGCAGCCAGGCAGGAAAGGACCTGGGGGTACTGACTGATGGCAGACTGAACACRAGCCAGGAGTGTGTCCACAAGGCCAAAAAGGCCAGTGGCATCCTGGCCTGTATCAGGAACAGTGTGGCCAGCAGGACCAGGGCAGTGATTGTCCCCCGGTACTGAGCACTGGGGAGGCAGCACCTTGAGTGCTGTGTCCAGTTCTGGTCCCCTCAGTTTAGGAAGGACATTGAGATGCTCAAACATATCCAGACAAGGGCAACAAGGCTGGTGGAGGGTCCRGGGCACAAATCCTGAAGAGGCTGAGGGAGCTGGGGTTGTTCAGCCTGGAGGAGGTTGATGGGGAACCCCAGCATTCTCCACAACTCCCTGTAAGGAGGATGCAGCCTGGTGGGGATYGGTCTCCTCTCCCAGAYAACCAGTGACAGGACAAGAGGACACAGCCTTAAGCTGCACCAGGGGAAGTTTAGGCTGGACATTGGGAAGAAATTCTTCACAGAAAGAGTGACTGGGCATTGAAATGGGTTGCCCAGGGAGGTAGTGGAATCACTATCCCTGAAGGCCTTTTAGAGAAGACGGGATGTGGCGCTCAGTGCCATGGTCTAGTTGACAAGATGGTGTTCAGTCATCAGTCGGACCTAATGATCTCAAAGGTATTTTCCAGCCTAATTAATTCTGTGAAATTAAAGCACTACSTCTTTGTACAGCTTGCTTCCTTTTCTTCCCCACCCAAATTGAAYTTCCTCTCCCAAGCTGGCAGCTGCTTGCTTTACAACAGCAGAGAGGAGATCAGGCMACAGAGGATGTGTCCTCTGCTGGTGGTGCAGGTGCTTGTCCAGAGCAAGGTCAGGCCTTGGGTACAGATTCCAGCTTCTCCCACCAACCCGGCACTAGCACCGCCCTTTGCAGGAAGGCAGCACATTCCCAGCTTCTATACCTTGAACTGCTGAGGGTCAGTTTGACCAGACAAGACATAAATGCATAAAAAGCAACTCCTGCTCCGAGCTGGTCAGACAGCAGGAAAGAAGTCGCACAGACTTTYCTCCTCACTCCCTTACTACTACACTTGATGGACCCCTCCATCAGCCYTGATAAACCAATGACTGAGAATTTACTAAAGCTTAGACCATTTCCAACAATCAAAAAGCTAAATAGTTGTTCCCATGCTTATTTTTTTAAATTCCAATAGCAGATGTGTAAACAGCATTTGTCTTCTACAGTGCTTGAAGCTGAGACACCACAGCGCATTGTAAAATAACATAGGATTCTCACCATCCAAACTGAACAAAAAATACCTAAACCACCCAAATGGGATTTATCAAATTCTTGTGTTAATGCAAGGTAACATGAGCAACAGGGAAGGWTGTTTAAAACACTGTATTTTTAAATTAGCATCCCTCTATAACAAGGATAGGGAAAAAAGGATACTTCCATCCACAAGCACACACTGTTCCATGTRCCCTGGGATTTAACAGCTCTTCAGGAAAAAGAATAGCAGATACACAGCTAGATACTATGGCCAATGCCCACCTCAAGGAACTGGAGCTAAGCCACAGTGATTTTATAGGTAAAGATGTTGTGTCACTTTTATCAAGTGTTGTAATGGTTTTTTACTGTAGCAACAAGAATAAGGATGGTAAGGATCGTAAACTAAAAGCAAAGCAGCAAAGACAGCATCCCTATTTAGTTGTACATTACCACATGRTGTAAAAGGCCATGACATTTTGCCTCTTCAACTCAAAAATTAGCAGCTTCTCACAGGGTGAATGCTTCCCTGGTTACTTCAAGACAGTTATGACAAGGTACATGCATCTAACAAGCCAACTCTTCTTGCTGAAACCAATCCCATGGAACAGTGTCCAGACCACAMCAGTGAAGAACCTTACAACCACCATAGCACTCAGATTGGACCACCTGCTCCAGACAAATGCGGCTCCCTGCAGATATGGAGTCTTAACATGGACATTCTGACCTGCTGTAGATAACTGTGGGGAGCAGTTAGGGACACATATTTCTGAATTTTCTCTTCCCTACTATCAGAASTTGAAACTACTGAAAATTTCAGGAATGAGCTGTGGTGTCCTCTAGCATGGCTGTCAGTGTACTCGACCTTCCCTCACAGCAACAGGCTGGCGCTGTATTTAGGAGAGGCTGTACGAATGCTGCTTACCCCCAGCCACAAGGGAGGAGCCCTTCTCTGTCAGCCCACTGGAGCTCACCAGGTTAAAACAGCAGACCCTTTGCTGTATAAAGCTAGGAAGACACACCAGCCTCTGAGATGGCAGCTGCCCAGGATTCAAGTACCTACTGTGGCTGGAAAATTAATTTGGGATTGTACCAATGGCACTAGGAATTCATTACCTACAGTAATTTTTTTGTCTTAATATTTTCAAACACCTGAACTTCTCCCAGTGGGCTGCACTGGTAAAGGAAGAAGWAGACAATTGGGAATGGAATCCTGCAGAGATGGGGCTTTCCTACATGTTGGACTTCTCAGCCTTCAGTTCTTTAGCAACTCTCAGTGACCTATTCCTGCACASCTCAGCTGCACACAGCCCATCTCATCTGAGGTACTTCTGGACATCACAAGTTGCCCCTGAACTGCAATCCCTCCCAAGCCCAATTTCAGTCCCAGTGAGGAGTTTTGTCCTGCCCTATCACAAAGAGGATGCTGGAAGAGCCTATATAACATATATACGTATATTTCAACTGTGTCTGCACCCAGCGAGCAAGCGAGTTTAGCCCCTGCTCTCTGGGCAGCAGAAGGGCTAGAAAGGCTGATAAGCTGCAACAAGCCGGTGTGAGGAGGAGAAAGGCACAAGAAAAGAGCAGCTCTTCAGAGACTGCTGTCAAACATCTGGCTAGGGAAAAGAAGAGGAGAGCTCAATCCACTCTGTTCCTTGAGCCCCTGATGCTGATGGAATGGGGAAGCCAGCGCTGCACCAACTCCACTGGTGCATCCAGGAGGCAACCTGGCGACATCCTTTGGATCTTCAGCTGAGGGCATCTCTTCTTGGAGGTATCCAGGGTACAGCTCGCGAGGATAGGGAAGACTGCACAGAGTRCTTCTGTCCCAAAGGTAGGGAGAGGGGAGGAGGAAGAAATCCAAGATGGAGAGAAGACCAGACAAACACAGCAGACCTCATGCTTCCTTCAATAAGGGAATATCTGAATGGTGGGGAGAGAAAAAAAAAAAATTAGTCAAATTTCTGCAATTCAACACACCAGAAAAACTACAGAAAGCAAGACAGAGTCCCACTTCCATAACATGACAATGCAGTGGTGTCCCTGTCATCACACCACATCACAGCAGAATGGAACTCTGGAGAACTCTGCTCCAACCTGCCCATGAATGGGACCATCACCAGCTCCATCCTCGAAAAATTCCAAGGACAGAGATTCCATCACCATCCTGGGTGTCCATCTGGTCTTGCATTACCATCCTAGCACAAAATATTTCTTAATCCCATGGAAAGGGGAAATTCTGCCTGAGCTATCTACAAGCCAGTTACATTTCTTGCCTAAGACACAGCAGTCCCTGCAGAAACAACYTTAAGCTACGTCTTCATATCAGCTCTGGCACTGCAAAGCCACTCTTCAGGACAGCACAGAAGTGAGAAATAAAAGATGTTTTGACTGTTTAATAGATTCACCCCTCTGCCCTCTATAGTAAGTTCAAGCACATCCCTCTTAGGTCTTCTTGCAGGCTAAAGCTGCAGCACCAAATGCTCTGTGGCAGGAAGATGCTTACTAAAATAGTCTAAAAAYGAAAAAGCCCAAACATCACAAAGGGTTTGTATTCCCTCCCTCCAGCATGTCCTCCCACTCCCACCAACTTCGTTTCCACAAACACTGTTATTTCACTGCTTTTGCACTATGATGCTGGAGGCTGGATTTCTCAGAAAATCCTTTGCTAAAACAAGAGTAAGCAGTAGACAATTGTGCTCAGACTGCCCTAGGCTTTCAGTCTGAGAACACTGAATTCTTCAGAAGAAGGTAATAAACACTGCTTACATTTTTAAGTGGTAAAGCATGCTATGGAGACTTGATCTTTTCAAAAGCTGCTCTAGTGGCAGACACACACAGGGGCATGCCTTGCTGTTTTCATCCTAGATAGACAACTGCAGAACCTGCTCTTAAAAGGGTCTCATTTAGTGCTTCTCGCACAAGTTACTTACCATCTGTGTATTCCTCAGAGGAAGTGAGTGATAAAAGGCTCTGTATGTCACTGCTTTCTGAATCTTGGACCTCTTTGTGTACAGGTCTACTGCTAGCCATGCCAGCTACCCAGGAGGAGGTAGCAGCCTGATGCACAAGAACAGTTTCAGAGCGCTGAGAGCCACTGGCTTCACATAGTCCAGAATGTCCAGGGGCTTCATCTTCTCTTTCAAAGCTATTGTGAGCCCCTTGGTCCGGCTGCTGCATCTCTCTGGGTCCATTCTGTCCAGCTCCCTCCGAGAGCACGATCTGCACTCGGGAGTCCGAGGGTGGAATGCAGTTCCCTGTGCTGCCATACACTGCTTCTTCATAGGATGGCAAGGCCACTTGGACACCATCCACCATAATAGAGACCTGATCTCCAGACACACCTTGGTCTCGCCTCAAAAAAAAGAAACAAAGAGCAGGGAGGAAAAAAAATAAATCAATTTGAGGATTTATTTTATTATATATAACTTACCAAGAATTTCAGTAACCTCTCTTAGCAGAACTCTAATTCTCACCATTGACTTATCTGGGGCAGAACAGACAGAAACTTGAATGGTGGTTTAGTAAGGTTAAGCAAGCACAGTCTTGCAGCCCTACTGTGAATTGCCACTAAACATAAGCAGGGGCTGTAATTCACGGCACCCGATGGATTTAGCAGCAAGAGCTGAAAAGGTTACAATGCTTCCCTTCCTCACTTAACCTGCACAGCTAAATCTGAGGAAGGTCATGACTCAGCTCTGTGCTCTTGGCAAAGAGCACTGTTGATTCCACTGCTACAACACCCAGCACTGTTCTGCTTCCTCTGCTGCTGGCCAGATAACTCTGGCAGGGTGGGGAAGACAGCATGAATCACCTGGCCTTGTAAAGCCCGAGAGTAAATTTTTCCTTCTAGTAGTTTGGGCTTTTCAGAAGAGGGCAGACTTCAGGGCTGCACCTCTCAACCTCCCCACTGCTAAGTGTCTGCCTCAGCTGGCAGCAGTGTTATGGCTGGGTCCCTCCCCTCACCTACAAATCCAGGCCAGCAGGGTTCTCCTCCCACAGGAGGGAAGGATGGCAGACTTGCACATGTATCTAAAGAGCAGTACTACCCAAATTCAGGTCCACAGGACCTCAAGCAGTCTGGGGGAGATGCACAGACATACATCCAGAGACAGACCTTAGTAGCTATCCAAGGCTAGAAGAGTCAGGAAATTGATCTACAGCCAAGTTAGTAAGGATCATAACTCTTTCTATTCAAAGCCAAGGCAAAAGCACAAGGAAGTCACTCCTTGGGTGGCACATAAGAATGGGGACTGCAGGAGGGTATCACAGACCATTTCAGATTAGTGCTGGACTAGTAGGTACAGGACAGAGATGTCACTGAGGTGATGAAAAGAGGAACAGAGAAGCAATGAGCTAAGTTGCTYCAAAACGAAGGTCTAACCCAACCACCTTAATGAGTTTCTGCTGCAAAGAAATAGGCTGCCTCTGAGCCTTCCAAACCCCAGCTACACTCACCTGCTGTGATGGAACGACTTCAGCTTCGGCTGCAGCAAAACAAACAGCACAACCAACAGCAGAATCAGGGCAACGGAGCTCGCTGTGGAGGCCACTATGGACAGCGTGGGCACTCCAATTGTCGGAGGAGAGTCCTTTTCTACAAAACCAAGGGAAACACAAGGTAAAATGATCCACTCCCTTAAATAACTGCCACAGAGAAGGAAAAACATCCACACTGCCCCTCAGGAGTTACACCTGGGTGTGTGTGTAAGGAGCCCAAATTTCCCATACAGTTGAGGCACACCACCTATCTCAATTTGCAGCTCAAGCTGACACCTCTCCATCAGTTGTAAAAGGAACCTAAAATAAAACAGGCACATAGAGGGGTCCCTTGGAAAAACACTGAGCAAACAGAAAAGCAGTGCAAGCAGGCCATGGGAACTGACATTTGGTGGTAAGGGTCATGTTATATATAGATCTGCCTGAGCAAAAGCTAAGAGAATGTCGTGATGTCACCAGCAAGGCCAATAATTGTCTAGYACAATAAGCATCATACTTTAGGCCAAACAATAGAAAAAGTTCTGAAACTTATTTTTTCTCAGCTAATGTAACAGCCTTGCAAAGAAGGGTGGAAGTCAGCTGGCTGGGTATTATTATGCACTTATTATAACTAAGACATAGAAAATATTAAGTTTCTCTCACACACAAACATATGCCAGAGGATGGAGAGGAAAGGCAGATGTTGCTTCAGAGTGCTGGTTTTTCAGTGTTAGATACATGCGCCCTGTTCACATTACTCTTTCCTACCCTTCTGCAGCTGTGCTGTGTAACTTTATGGACACCAATTTGGTTTTTATAGGACCTGTGCAGGAATAAACCGGGAGTGGAGAGAGAATGGCTTGGAGATGGTATTGCTGAGCACTGCATATCATGCCTAGAAGGCTACACTAGTCCTTTCACCTCCCTAGAGGAAATAACTATCTGTATGTGTTCATTCTGTCCCTAATTTGTGTCTTTGGTAYGATCTGAAAAGCCTCACCTACCCATCAGCAAATATTACTGTGAATTTGACATTTCCCATTTATGCAATTCCTCAATTCCTCTTTGCTACATCCAACACATTCTTCAGGAGCACAGGACTCAGACTGCAGAGGGAATTCAGGACACATGCAATGAGGGGTGAGGAGAGGAGCAACAGGTAAACAGAAAAAAATAGATGGAGGATCACTATTTTTAAGCCTACAGCCTGAAAACTACACCCAAAACAGTCATTTAAGGTGGAAACCTGGTGTGCGATTTTCTGCATCATCTCTTGGGGTCAAACTTGTTTCTTTGAAATCCTTTAGAAGTAGTTTGACCTCTTCCCAGGAAAAAGACCGGGACTGGCACATTTTTCTCTAAGGCGAATAGGGTTGAGTAAGGATTTTAACTTTCAGCATTTCTCAGGGCACTTTGAGTACACTAACAGGAACAATGGTAGGCAAATAGAGATACTCCATTTTCAGCATCAGTACATGATGCTGTCAAACTTCTCACTATCCAGGGTGCACTCCAGAACATTCACCTTCTCATGCCAAAAAGACGTGACTAACTCACACATTAACCTGCCAAAAGGTTACAGGGCTGACAGGCTCAGAGCTGCACAAAACATGTGAGAACTGCTARGGACTTAATTTATCCTATATGGAGCAGGTGAGGTCGTAAAATGGTTGATAATGGTAAGGGTAAGAACTACYGCCTTTCTAGAGTCTCCCACCTCGTTCTCCTCCTTTTAGGCTTGTGAAAGAGACCCACTGGTTAAGACTCAGCTATCCCTGACCCTGAACAGTTGATTCAAAGCTTGTGTTGTGAAACCAATGGCTTTTTCATTGGGTTAGACTTTTGAGGCACCGTATTTTTGATAACGCCACTGATCCTTCAAGATGCTAAAGAAATCTGAGGGATTTCTGCTCATCACGATACAATCCTTCAGCCAGACCAAGTGCCACCATACAGGAATGCCATTCAGGGAATGCTRTGTGCAATAGCACAGCTTTGTTCTCCAGCCTGGGTGCAGCAAGGGCTGTGGAAAGGAAGCTTGTGTTGAATTTGAAAAGCCTCTTTAGGATCTAGTTGCTGCCAGGTAAACTCCCAGATCCTTCCTTATACAGCATAGGAAGGAGCTACTGGAGTGGCAGAGACACGAAAATACAGTGTCTTTGGGACAGGGCAGGATGTTCCAGAGATCACAGGTATGCAGTGAGCTCCATAAAGAGCTTAATGAAGGCACTTTTCTGTTGCCTTCCAATTAAGCTGACACATTTTGCTTTATGTATTATGAGACTTAATTCCAAAGTGTACATCCTGCAGGCTCAGGATGACTGACTAGTAAGTAAGGCTCTATCAACAAGCCCACCTGCAAGAGGGGAGGGAGTTCTCCTTTTATCCAATATGCTCACTGTTAAAACCAGAAGAGTAGTAGGCAAACTAAGAGCTGTATGATGAACATTTTCCTGCAAACCTTTTTACTTTCCTGCTTTGATGAAGGAATTCCTGTTCAGCTGGGAGAGACAAAATAAAAGCTGCCCACTTCTATTTTGAGAGAAGTAGAAATCATTTGTCAGCAATGTCCTTTCCTGCCAGTACAGCAAAAAGCAGCACCATCAAGCTTTTTGACACAGGAAGCCAACAGTTACTTAACCTGTTTGCAAGGAAGATCGACTCTACACACACATGTACAGACAGAATCACTGAGGGAGATGTACTGTCAAACCCACCAAGGAAAACCAGACAGCATGGAAAATCCTTCTGTTAGGGCTTCCCTATTTCTGGGATGAGAGCCTCAAGATAAGAGGCTCCACGTAAGTAACAAGTTGCCTACTTTATACTCCTTTCCATGACTTTTCTCCTTGTATCAGGGTCTCTTTGTCTGCATTTGATGGGCTGCTAAGGAAGAGAAAATTTTAAGAAGGAGCTGTGATTGTGAGCTGCAGTTTTTAAATCACTGGAGCATTCAGAGACAGCCATATGGAATTCCTYAGCGTTACACTGACTAAGTCTTTAAGGATAATCTGAAAAGTCAATGCAAGGGCAATTGTAGAGTCAGTGAGAACTCACCTGGGCTGAGCCTGCAGCTGACTTCCATGGCTGGGTTCCACTCCCCATTCTTGCAGGTCAAGTATTTATAATCTCCTTTCAGCATGTATCCTTCAACACACAGATACTCTATGACGCTGCCTGAAGTCAGAGGGTTGCTGCAGGGGCTAGGGTGGCATTTATAGCCTCCATTCTCAGGTTGTGGTGGCTGGGGACAATCTGAAAAAAAAGAAAGTAGCATGAAGGACATCTCCAAGGAAAACACCTGTTACACAATATGACACAACATTGGTAGGCTTCCACCTACAAACACCCACTGAATTAAAAAATTACTAACACCAAGAAGAAAAGCTGTTACACAATGGCAGACAACACCTCTGATAAGTTTCTGTCATTGCTAAATACTGCTTATTATCCCTGTAGTACAGCCCAGCTGGGAGGCACCAACCTGGTGATATTTTTGAACAGTGACACAACAGAGATTCCACATGAGAGAGGYCCAGAAAATCCTTAGTGCTATCTTCTGCCCACAGCTGTTTCACTAGAGACTGGGGTGAACCTACCAACCAGGCTTTCCTGTTAGTCCGGCAGGGGAAGAGCATGAGACATTCTGAAACGAATAAGGAATGCAAAAATCCCTCTGCAYTATGGGTACACAATGTCAAGGTGAAGAGCTGCCCCATCACAAGGCACCCTAGAAGCCTGTAAAAGCACAYGAATTTTGACTATTTTATGTAGATATGCCACCAACAATATTGGCAACRGAGCTTTGCTGCAGTAGGGAGRATTTCTTCACTGAAAGGGTGGTCAGGTGTTGGAGTAGGTTGCACAGGGAAGTGGTGAAGTCACCATCCCTGCAAGTGTTCCAGAAACAACTGGGCATGGCACTTAGTGCTATGGTATAGTTACACGGTGGTGTTCAGTCAAAGGCTGGACTTTATCATCTCAAGAGGACTTTTCCTCGGACCAAATATTCTAGTCTACTTTTAAAAACTAATAAGGTGTATTATGAAAAACATATCTAAAACCCCCATCTGTTTACCTATATGAATTCTGGAGTGCTGAAGGCACTTCACATTCCTCTTTGCACCTCCATTACCCTGACTAGTGGTTATAAGCATAGCATATGCCAGAACTTCTCTTGCTGAATTTGTAACAGTCATTCAAACAAAAACAACAAACCAAAATTGAGGAAACTACACTGAAAACAGGATATTTATCTTGCTCAGAACTTCCTCTCTTCTGGCAGGTCACAATGACCCTGCAGAACTGCCCCAATATGTTCTGCTGACATGTATCTGCCTGGCTGGAAGATGGAGAAAACTAGATTCTTCCCTTAAAATGCACACCAGCTTCCCAGACTTCATAAAAGAAAATACATCATAGATCCCTCTTGAGGTATTTTGGGGCATGGAAAATCAGTCAACCCACACACGGTGTTCCATTGGAGTGTGATGACCCAGTCCTGTCCTTCAACCCTGGAGCACGCATTCTCATGTTCTACCTCTAAGTGACCACTTACTRCGGGACAAACATCAACAAACAGCTGGGAAAAGTTCAAGTAATTGGATTTTGAGCAAGACTTAAGAAGCAAAAGAAAACTTGAGATTCTTTCAYTGTGGAAAAATTTGCTACATTGCCTTAGTGCAAACGACCCTTGAACCTTATCATGTGTGAGAATGCAGCACAGGTAGTGCCTTGTAAATGCCAATAAACCCTGAAAGAGATGAAGTGCTGACTGAAGCCAAAACCCCTCTAGTATGAGTTCTGCCAGCTCTATAACTGCAATTCAATTTACTTCTTCAGAAAAGGTTAACAGGGGTCTAAGCAGCAGCTTTTCAAGAAGACTTTGTTCTTGAGAAGATTCTTAAATAAGCTTCAGAGAAGTCATTGTCCTGTGCCTCATGAGTTATAACTGTTACCTCTTCTGTGTTTTTAATATTTCCTTTCTGCAATCATTTTGTAAGCAATGTTTTAATTCTTCACCTTAAGAGTCTAAACTTGCTTTCACTTTGAGCCTGTGCAACATTTTAGGGCAGTTGGGATCAGCCAAAGCAACTGATTAATGGCTCATTTCACATTTAAGCACAATAGACAAATGCCTTGGTTCATCTGCAGTACAGCAGAGGTTTTTTGGCTAAATTGCAAGGACCCATTTGAGCACCAGAGGTATTTTTAGCAGTTTAACATGTACCTCTCTAGCACTGGTGGAGCTGTGAGTAAAAGCCAGTGCTGCCACAGCAGTTGCCAAAACTCGAGAGCAGAGAGGACAACTTCCCTATGTCTTTTTATACCATAGCAGCTACCCAGAAATTTCTTGGGAGTAATGCACAGCATTTTTCTGCTAACTGATTCCAGCAAAGAGCTCATTCCCTCTGTTCCCATTTCTCCTGAGCTACGCCCTCATGTAAGTCTGGCTACTGCATCAGAAGCCCTTTTGCACACAGAAGCAGCTCACTTTTGGTTCTCCTTTTATCATAAAATGTCACYTACACTGATGAGATTTCTCAGACAAAACCCAGCCAGCCAACAAGAAACAGACACTCATTTACACTGCAATAGCACTCTTAAAGGCTTGGAAATACCACCACAACAGGCACCTGCAGAACCCTGACGTGGCCTTCTCAGGCAAGGTCTCCAGGAGATGCACAGCTATGCATCTGCAAACTGGATTCCTCCTCGTCTCCACAGGCACTTGGCACACAAAAGGAGACAAGCAGCTGCTAACTGTGTTCAGGCAGTTGTGCCTGACTTGTCCTCTTCAAACGRAAGAGACTGCAGAATTAGCCACCTTCCCTTCCCTCCAACCCCAACCTTCATTTGTCATCACCGTGTTCAGGAGTGCAAGTCTGATTCTGCACAGCCCTTGTCCCCAACAACAAAGCTTACACCTATAGTTTGCAGCACTGGTATAYTCACAACAACAGAGAACCAGACAGAGCGTCCCATTTACTGCTGTCCACAGAATAAACCACTGACACTGCAGGGGTGAAAAAAGCTGGGTGTCAACTGCTGCCAGAATGCACATCCAGAGCAGCCCACTCTGGCCAGGGTTAGGGGCCAGAAAGCAGAGGGATGGGAAGAGYTGACTGTGTGAACCCGTTATTAGCACTCCAGAGCATGGCTGTGTCAGGATGGTTCAGTGCTGGGAACAGAAAGATGCATGCAGGAATTTCATCAACTCCCTCCCGGAAACACATGTTTTTGGAAGTGTCCCAGAGCTTATGAGACATCTTAAAACAAATGTTCATGCCTGGCAGGGACGAGTAAGAGAGCCAAGTTMCAGAAGTTACCAACATCCTAGGGGTTTTAATGACATTCTAGRCTTGCAAAGCTATTGCCACGATTTTGATTCATCAGGCTTTGAGGATGCACAGAAATAGGTTTTAAGCATTTCACCACTGTGTGCAAAGGGTGCAAATACTCCCAAAGGCCCTGTTTCTAGGAGGTACTGAAGCTGATGACATCTCCTGAGAGAGCTGGTTCTCTGCCAGCATACACTGCTGGAAAACAGAAGGGWAACAGAAGTTCAAAGACTCTGAACATCACTGAACTCTGTTCAGAGGTAAAGAAATAGTCATTTCCWGACCGACAGGCACAAATTATGAACTGAAGCTTCTGCACATGCCATTCCAAACCACTAGGTATTTAATATACAGACAATTTTTTAATACACAAATAAAAARAAGTACTAAGCCAGTATGTACCTCCACCCAGTTTCCCACCAAATCACCTATAAGCACCGTATTTTCCTGTATTTTGGTCACATGAAGAAACACTGCCCTCCTTCAAGGAGGTTTAACTGCTCTGATATTCTTTGAATAGCTGTTACCAGCTTGACAGTAATTACCACAGCACTAAGGAAATTCCTTTTTGTTGCAGTGACAGCAACATCACATTGCTCCCTTCTCCATGGCTCTRCTTACAGTGGCAAGCTCCTGTTGCTTCCTCTTCCAGCAATTTCACAGACWGCTGTGAGGAGCTGAAATCCAGTTTCTTTTAGAAACAGTAAGAGATGTCAGTTGGCCAAATTGATTAACCTAATCACGAAGGTTAATCACAACCTAAGGATGAAATGGTTTTTCCGTGTCCTGGCTGAGTTGAAGCTGAGCCGTGGTCCTGAATGCCAACCTGATGCAGAACTAAAAGAATTTCCAGCATAATGTAATAAAGACCATAGCTCTATATAATGCCACAGATGGAAGCATGTGGTCTCTTGTGTGCTGATGCAAAAGTCAGGGGTTTAAGTGCTCAGAACATAAACCACAGGAGCACAGTTGAGCCTTGATCACCGAGAGTGAAATTCACAGATGAGCAGAAGATTTACAAAGCTCAAGCAGGATGAACCTATTGTGGCAAGGATCAAGAACAATACACTCCACTCACACATATAAAGAAAGATGAAATCATACTTCAATCTGATCAGATAAATGACACAGAATCACCAAAGCTCCTCACTATTAACCTTCTGTGCACAGGCWCAACACGACACTGAAGTCTAAGACCTCTCTACCATCTTATTTGCTTGGCACTGTCTCTTTTTTTCAGCTAGTAAGGTTCATGGAGTCCAGAAGGGGTCTTAGACTCCTCTTTTCTTCACCAACCACTTGAAATGTTTTTCAGTCATTAACCTGTTTGACTGGGCAGTCTGACCACACAGAGATGAAAACCCAATCCTCCTTAACAAAATGCATTCTTATGAGAAAAGAAAAACAAAACAAAACCCAAAGAAACAAAACCCCATCCAACCAATCAAACAAGTAAACAAACATCCCCTTTTAATCATGATCTGCCAGAGTGCACAATTGTAGGGTTGTAACTGAGGGAGAACCAAGCCATGCCATTGCTCACCTTACGTGGGCAGACAATTGCATATAACATTGCTTAACAATGGGATGTTTTGCACTGAACATCCAGTAATATTTCTTCTTCTCCATGGCAGGGCACAAAGGTCACTAAAACTAGGACAAGAATAGTTTTGACAAATTAAAGTTGCTGTTTACATGAGTCAGGCCCAAATCCCAGCAACTTCAAGAGGAAGCTGGACTCAGCCTCAGATAAATTCCTCACTGACTACACAAGTGCTCTAGCAGGTTTGACCACACTCAGAGCAGTGTCAGAGGAGCCTCACAGGTCTGTGCTGAAGCACTTTGGAAGCCACTGGAGTTTACAGCTGCTGTGTTGGATACCCTGAGCATGCGCCCTGCTTGGAGATTGTT